CGATTAGCCGAACTGATGAAAAAAAACTAAAAAACTTTATTTAAAAAATATATACATACTTGATTCATACTTTATTTAAAAATTACATATTATTATTCAATTTCAATTATAATTCATATTTGGATAGGCTGCAGAAAATCGTACATTCTTCTTTGCTGTAATTTATGAAGACTTGGCTTATTGATAAAATCTGCACAAACATCTAGTGAAGTTATTGGGACATTTTCGTTTCCATTTTGCATGAAATATAGTCTCACCTGATCAATAGACTTTTCTGCTTCTCTTGTTGTCATTTTGACGGGTTGAACGTCGATGGTGTGCAGTGCTTCAATGCAAATGAGAATTACGATAATATTCTTGACGAAATTGCTGAGAGAAGTCTGCAAAATGCAGAAAGTGATGAAAATGACGACGTTCAACCCGTCAAAATTACAACAAGAGAATCAGAAAAGTGCATTGATCAGCTGAGTCTATATTTCATGCGAAATAGAAACAAAAATGTCCCAACAACTTCACTGGATGTTTGTGCAGATTTTATTAATAAGCCAAGTCTTGATAAATTACAGCAAAGAAGAATGGACCATTTTATGCAGCCTAACAAAATATGAGTTATAATTGAAATTGAATAATAATATGTAATTTTTAAATAAAGTATGAATCAAGTATGTATATATTTTTTAAATAAAGTTTTTTAGTTTTCTTAAAGTTGTGTGTTTTCGTCAGTTCGGCTAATCGGAACAGTCGGATAATGGGGACAAATAGGTTACCGCCCGATGTGTCCCCATTAAGCGGATTCTACTGTATATTCAAAATTCAAAATACGGGACTAAAAAAATGTCTATTTCAAATACAGTGAAATCTCCCTTAACGGTCACCTCCATATAACGGACGAAACTTTGGCGACCGATAATGTCGGGTATTAAGAGGTTTCACTGTATCACAACGACGCCGCTAGAGATTTTTAAATGAAAGTATAATGAATTAAACTATAGGACAATCTTTACTTAATATTTTTATTTTTTTCAACTATCTAATATTTTTTTAAAAATTATATCAGTTTTCCGTATACTTGTATATCAGTAGATAATAAAAATAAATAATATTAAAAATGTTAATATATTTTATTTGAATAATATTTCAACAGTATTATACCATAAGTACTTATTAAAGTATAAATATAACATTTTAAAACTTTTTTTAATAAGATAAAAATAACAACCCTGTTTTAGTTTTTCTTTGGTAATACCTAGCCAATAGGAACAAAATCTAAAATAAATAGTACATTCAACTTTATAAACTATGTATACACTATACCTTACATAATTTAAATTTACAAAACTAATTGGTTGTTATAATGTTCATGGAGTATTATAATATTTATTAGAAGAATGAATCTCTTTTAATAATGATTGATTTCCAATTAAGAAGTCATGGAATTCTGTACAGGTTTCCTTAAAAAATGTCTTCACTATCAACATAGCTTTAACTGTTTTTATTTCCATTTTATTCATTTTCATCCGTCCATAAGTTATTCATATTTGAGAAAATTCTTTCAACATTTGCATTTGAACCTGGTGTGCATATTAAAAACTACTATTATTTTAAAATTTGGAAAATAGCCATAATCAATATTATTCACTGATTTAAAAATATATGTCCACATTTCTGATAAAGTTTTAAAGGATTGAATATTTTCATTGTGTTTTACACATTTTTTAATCATTGTAAATTCATCAACTAAATGAGCCTCATTAATTAAATTGTTTTTGGGAATAATATTTTTGATTCATTCAATAGTAGTTTGAATATTAACCCAATTAAAATCATGCTCAATGTTTTTTAGTGTAATCCACGTTATACCATCAAATTTACTTAAAGTGGGATTTGAACATTCTTTTATATATTCTAAACATGTGTCATAAAATGTGCTGTAATTTATCAAGACTTTGCTTATTGATAAAATCTGCACAAACATCTAGTGAAGTTGTTGGGACATTTTCGTTTCCATTTTGCATGAAATATAGTCTCACCTGATCAATGGACTTTTCTGCTTCTCTTGTTGTAATTTTGACGGGTTGAACGTCGATGGTGTGCAGTGCTTCAATGCAAATGAGAATTACGATAATATTCTTGACGAAATTGCTGAGAGAAGTCTGCAAAATGCAGAAAGTGATGAAAATGACGACGTTCAACCCGTCAAAATTACAACAAGAGAAGCAGAAAAGTCTATTGATCAGGTGAGACTATATTTCATGCCAAATGGAAACGAAAATGTCCCAATAACTTCACTAGATGTTTGTGCAGATTTTATCAATAAGCCAAGTCTTCANTGTCATAAAATGTGCTGTAATTTATCAAGACTTTGCTTATTGATAAAATCTGCACAAACATCTAGTGAAGTTGTTGGGACATTTTCGTTTCCATTTTGCATGAAATATAGTCTCACCTGATCAATGGACTTTTCTGCTTCTCTTGTTGTAATTTTGACGGGTTGAACGTCGATGGTGTGCAGTGCTTCAATGCAAATGAGAATTACGATAATATTCTTGACGAAATTGCTGAGAGCAGTCTGCAAAATGCAGAAGGTGATGAAAATGACGACGTTCAACCCGTCAAAATTACAACAAGAGAATCAGAAAAGTGCATTGATCAGCTGAGTCTATATTTCATGCGAAATAGAAACAAAAATGTCCCAACAACTTCACTGGATGTTTGTGCAGAATTTATCAATAAGCAAAGTCTTGATAAATTACAGCAAAGAAGAATGGACGATTTTCTGCTGCCTAACAAAATATGAATTATAATTGAAATTGAATAATAATATGTAATTTTTAAATAAAGTATGAATCAAATATGTTTACATTTTTTAAATAAAGTTTTTTAGTTTTTTTAAAGTTGTTTTTTTTTGTCAATTTGGCTAATCGGGATCATAATAAATGAAGTGTCTTATAAATAGTCCATTGAAACTTTTAATGAAATGTATGTTTATAATTCTAAAGCAAACTGTTTAGTGACATTTTTATATTAAGAATAAAAATAATTTGCTTTGACTGCTTAAGATATTCATAAAAAAAAAATAATAATAATATTAATAAAAAGGAATGCTTAGAAGTACTTTATTTTTTAAGGACTTTGAATGAATTGCTTTTTTTTTTATTAAGATTTTTTTTGCAGTAGGGACGAATGCCGTTTTAAAGTAAACGTTGACAACATTGCACAAAATAATATGTCATATTGTACACATTACTAATTTTTTTTTATTGTAAATTATGATATCATATACAAAATTATTATAAAAATGTATATATTATTAAAACTCTGTACAGACTTCACAACTTATATATAACTTGGAATAATTCCAAAAAATATTATACACTATTTTTTGTAAAATCCCAGGAGTGAACTCACCTCTTACTCTGTGTCCTTAAATCGGCATTAACAACCAAAATGTCCTACGCTCAATACTACTTCACCAAAATGAAAGCATATCTTGATACTTTGATGAAAAACAAAATAACACTATTTTAACACGAACTTCTATGATAAATATTGTACATTGAAATCCAGAGCATCCATAGATGGATCTCATCACGAAAAGGCTATTATTTTTTCGATCACCCGTGAACGGTAATCACTGAGTTCTCATCAGACTGTACAAGGGAAAATTATTATCTTCCACCATAACGGCTTTCTACACTGTTAGATGGACCCACTAACACAATTGCTCTCTTCATACCATGTTGGCAAATACAATTTGGCAATCCAACTTCCATTTAGTGAACAAAGAGAACCGTATGACACCCATTCAAACAAACAATTACTACTGCAGTCCATGGATCTTACATATAATCCGTCTACATAGGATCGGTAGTGATCGTAAGCCTAATTCTATCAGGCCATCGATGCTTTGGGTAATATCCGCACAGTGCACGGGTTTAAAAAATTGCGACGATTCGCGTTACCACTGCCTGGTGAAACATCCGTTATTTGTTTTCGTTAACTGGTGAAGAGAATGGAGAAGTATCCAGGTGTCTATCTGTGGTGTCCTGTCACCTTAAATAATCGTCTGGTGGATGACCAGCTCAACGGCGATTTGGAAAGCGGTTCTGGGCTATGTAACCTGGTCTTGTCACGGTCTGATGGAAAAAAAGCGAGGGAGGCAGTGTGCGCCCGAGCAAAAAATCTAGTTTACGGCCTCTGTGCGCCACTATATTGTGTGCTATAGCCGCATGTGTCTGTTTTTGTTTTCATTTTTCTAATCAATGATACAGAGGCAAGGGCAAGGTGACCCTTAGTTACACCGTGATTCATGCACAAAAAAAAAAAAAGGAATGTAGTTCAGTAAAAAAATCTAAGCAATGCAATCGAATTATGCTAAAAATGCAAACCACTCAATAAAAAATACTTTCAAAACAAATACAGACGGTCAAAGGAGAAGCCAAAAGAAGAGGACATGGGTAAAAGAACACGGAAAAGGACACGGAATAAATTACGGATCTCTTGGGATTATATTTATATATATATATATATAAAAAAAAAAAATGTCTTTTAATCTAATTAAATTAAAACATAAAAACTATCTATTCTATATTTTATTTGTAACGCCTTTTTTTTTCTTTATATAAAAATTAAAGATTATTATAAATGTATTATTTACCAACCATTACTTAAAAATATTATTTACTTAATATAAATTGTAACATAATTCATACTATATATATATAAAAAAAAACATGCACATGCAAATCACAAAAATCATTTTTATTGTATATTTTTTGTGTTTCATCGTTTGTAATGCAATGTCACGGGAAAACAATTTAAAAAAAAAATTATATATATATACAAATTGTAATACTATTTCAATATTGTTTTTTTCATCTCTTAAATGTCGACTACGGAGATGTGTTCATTTAAAAATTTAGTTAGAAAATAAGTAAAATAAATGTATATTTGGTTTTCAAAATAAACGTGACATACAGTTACCAGATTCCAAAACAATTAACATCTATTAATTACATACATCCCTAAATCTAAACACATTTATTCCTTCAAATACAGGTTGATCAATGTATTATAAGAGACTCATTATATCGGAAATTTTGCACTTTTTTTGAAAACTTAAGTAACAAATAGTTTTACTAAAATGTTACATTATCATTTTTTTTTTTTTTGTCATCCTTATTTTTGGGGGTAAAACGAATACCTATTTTAGATTTTCAAATAGCAACCGAGAAAAAAAATTCCATAAATAAATGTAGTGTTAGTTAAAGTAAATTTCGTCAAATTGATTTCCGTCAATCCATTGACGAGATGTTCCACTTTTAAGTTTGGGTATGCAATGGAACATCATTTGAATGGCGCTTGGTGTACGGCGTTTTAATAATGATCCGCTACTCTCTTTTGATCCAAACTTAAAAGTTGAATATCTCGTCAATGGATTGACGGAAGTGAAAAATTTCAACCCCGAAATTTATTTTAACTAATACTGTAGTATCTATTTAAGGAATTTGTTTTGTAGGTTGCCTTTTAAAAATCCAAAGTAGGTATTCGTTTTACCCCCAAAAAAGAGAATGATAAAAAAAAAAAATATGATAATATAACATTTTAAAACAATTTGTTTTTTAAGTTTTCAAAAAAAGTGCAAACTTTCCGAGACAATCAGTGTCTTATGATATAGTTAATCACCCTGCATAGTAGTTGCAACTACGAAAATGGGCTGCTAAACCTGGTAGTACTTATTCTTATATACTTGGCTGTTGTGTGTGATGCCTCGCTCTGCCCTATATTTAAACGTGGAGATTTGATATAGTATACCGCTGAGGGCTATACACAACGTTAACAAATTGTTACCCCCGATTAGAGTGCTGAACTACGTTCTATGCTGTTAACGTTTGACTGATTTGGTATTGATTGTAACAGTTGTCAATACGCCTGGAAAATGAGTAAGTAACCTGATTCCGTGTCCTAAATTTCGTATATTGAATACTCACTTTTATTTCTGGTCATTATTTGCGTAAATGCGACGATTAATAGTCATTCACACTTACTTAAATTCCACCCCAAACACCTTGGATGACAATTTATCCAAACCTACTTGTATTTAGTTCATCAATCGTATCGCAGTTTACGGTTTTCAAGCGAACTTTAAGCAGTTCTGCAGATCAACGAGGTAGGTAAAAAGTTACTTTATTCGCGTAATAGAATAGTATTTAGAATTCTTTATGTTGTTGTGCTGATATTCGTGTAATGTAGAAAGTACCCATTCACACGTAGGTAGTTTTTTTTTTAAGTATACATTTACATATAATGGTACTCGGACAATACACAATAATAACACATATGCGCATTTGTTAAAGTAACATAGTATACCGCCTGATCCATTTAAGTGGATATACTCATTATCTCGAAAAGTATTAATTTTTTTCAGAATTTGATTTCCAGAACATTTATGAAACAAGCAGCTCTACAATTTTATATTTATGTTATATTTTATTACTCTTGTTTTTGGAGGTAAAACCTCTACCTACTTTTGATTTTCAAATGGCAACCTATATTAAACGTTGACGAAATATTCCACATTTAAGTTTTGGTTGGAGGAGACTAGGAGAGTAGTAGTGGTGCATCATTAACACGCCACGTGCCGCACCACCACACAAATGATACTTCACTACTCTCCTCCAACCCAAACTTAAAAGTGGAATATCTCGTCAACGAATTAACGGAAATCAAAAATGTCTTTTAAACTAATGCTCTGTCTAATTATGGATCTTTTTAATAATGGTTGCTATTTGAAAATAAATGTAAGTAGTGTTTTTACCCCAAAAGATAAGGATGACAAAACTAACATAAATATAAAATTCTAGAACAGGTTGTTTCGAAAATATTCTAGATGACAAATTTCGGAAAAATTTAATACTTTTCGAGATAATGAGTGTAATCACTTGATTGGATCACCTGGTACACAATATGTAACACAGCGCCGTTCAAATCAAAAAATTCTTTCACTCTTGCTGTTGTACACAGTTTAAATCTAGACTCACGCTCAATAAAATAATACCAATAATATTCTGTAACTCCGTACTACTTATTTTATGACCATCAAATCCTGTATAGATCCAACACTCACTTGGTTTTATATAACCACCTGTTCTTCCATTATTTCTATTGTATTATAGTTTGATGACAGCCGATGTATTTGAGGTGGGATATCGAGTTAAATAGAAGTTTAAACCAAGGGTAGCTGACCCCAAATAGATGGGATAAAGATAAAGGTTAAAAACTCACTCGAAGAACACAGAATTAACTCTTACCGAAAATATAAATCTACAATATACCCAGCTGACTTCAACCTTTGGATAGTAACCAAATTATTAATTAAACCAAACTCCAATGTAATCCCCCCCTTGAGAGCAGGAGATGTACATCTTTACAGATTTCGATAAATGCGAAACTATTTGCTCACACCCTTGATAATGCTTTTACGTTAAGTAGCATACTAAATAACTCGACAAACAATCTAGTCCAACAAAAACTAGGTGAACCCGATATTCTTCCCCAAAATATATTACACTACTGGAGCTCTGAAGAAATTATATATATAATCAGAAAATTATCAAAAACGGAAATCACCCGGATACAATTTGATCACAAATACTATTCTGAAAAATATCCCCAGGAAAGCTATTACATATTTATCAATATTTTTCAATCCTCTTATAAAAATTGGGTACTTTCCGTCTAAATGGAAAATGGCAACAATCATTTTGTTCAAAAAACCAGAGATAATTCCCACCCGAG